CGCCGGCAATAACCAGCGGCGAAACCGCCGTTATTACCGGCGGCCATATAACCGCCGGTCAAGGCCGCTAGTAACAGCTGAATTTCCTGTAGTGTCACCTAATGAGGATTTCTCTTCTAAAGAATCCTCTAATCCTCCTGCTCAATCTTCTTCTCCTCTTAAGTCAAAATCTCCCACTATTCAGATCATGAACAAATTCTCTGCCTTGCAAGAAATTCAGGATCCAGAATTTGATACTACTTCCAAAGCTATAGTTAATTCTCATCAGACTGGGGCCACTTTATTGAATCCGACACCATATGATCCGCCTTGTTCCTCTGGTTTCCCACCCAGTAACACCAATCAAATAAATATCCAAGTTCCTTCGGACAAGGGAAATAAAAACCAAACCAACACTAGAGGGAAAGGCTCCAAAAGGAGCAAAAACTCTAAAATATGATGTCCATTCCACCCTTTGCCATGTGGAATATCAGGGGCTTCAATAGCCCTGATAAAGTAAACGGTGTCAAAAAGCTGGTTAAGGATCATAGCTTAGATATGGTCTGTCTTTTGGAGAATAGAATTCTCCTTCACAATTTGAATGATCCCTAGTTCTGCTCTAGACATGAGATCTTCACCAATGAGAAAAGTTGTAATAACTTCCATCTTGCTAACCCAGGTAGGATTTGGGTCAAATGGAATGTTGATAGAATTAATTTTGAACCTATATTTTTTCCAATCAAATGATTTCGGGCAAGCTTACTGTAGCCTCCCAACAACCTGTTATTCTCACCATAATTTATGCATGCCTCCAACTCTCATGATGAGGGAAATAAATTATGGGATGAGATTAGAAGTATTAACCCCTTTAATAATCTCCTGTGGATAGTTACTGGGGATTTCAACTGCTGTCGCTAAAGCTTTGAAAAAACTGGAGGGAATTTGATACCAGAAGCTAGGTTAGGTCAATTTAACTCTATGATTTTTGACTCTGCCCTCACAGAGCTTACTTCCTCGAGTATCTTCTATACTTGGCACAACCAGAGAAGTGATAATCCAATCAGCATTAAGCTTGATAGAGCACTTGTCAATGAGAAATGGATTACTTCCTTTCACAACTCCTCGTACAAAGTTCTAAGTGCCTCTATCTCTGACCACTCTCCTCTTATCATTACTATTGGTGAAAATAGGAAAAATCTCCATCAGTTCATGTTTAAAAATCACTGGACTCACTACCAGGAGTTCTAGAACCTTCTCTTTGATGTTTTTGCACTGCCATCTAGTGGCAATCCTATCATTAGTTTCTATAGCAAGCTCAGGAGGTTTAAACTGCTTATCAAGGAGTGTAATTGGAACTCAACCAACACTATCATGCCTTTGATTGACTCTTACACTAAGCAGCAGTTGGATTGCCAGACGCTTCTAGACATGGATCCTCTCAATCCTGAGCTTTGCATTAAACTCCAAAGTATTAACTCTAACATGATGTATTACAACTCTATCTAGTCCTCTTGGGTGAATCAAAGAGCAAAAGTCAAATGGATTTTGAATGGGGAAGAAGGTTTAGAATTCCTTTATACTAGGATCCACAGGAGAAGAGCTGGTAATAATAGTGCTATTGAGAGTGTTCTCATTGGCCCTCCCAAGGATCATGATTCTAATATTAAAAAAATCATTCTTCATTTTAAGAATTTGCTTAACCAGCCTACTCCTGATAGTAGTTTAATTCCCGAAGGCTCCTGTCTTCCTCCACATTTAGCTGAGCATCTTACTATGCCTATCACATTTGATGAAGTTAAAAAAGCTGTTTTTCTGGACACTCTGACTCCTCACCTGGTCCAGACGGGTTTAACTTTGGTTTTTATAAGAAGTGTTGGCACATAATTGTCATAGATGTTTTTAAGGCTGTTCAATCGTTCTTTGCTAAAAGTTATCTTCCTAAAGGTGCCAAGGCCACTGCTCTTGTGTTGGTACCCAAAAAATCTCATGCCAGTAGTATCGAAGACTTCAGACCCATAGCCTTGTGTAATGTATTTTACAAAATCATTGCTAAAATTCTTGCGGATCGTATAAAGGTTATTATGCCCCTTATCATTCACAAAAGTCAAGCTACATTTATTTCTAATCGTTTAGCCACTGATAACACCCTCTTGGTCAGTGAAATTACGAAGGTCTTCACCAATGCTAGCAGAAGTAAACTCTTTTGTGCTAAATATGACATTAGAAAGGCATTTGACACCATTTCTAGAGATTTCCTCGTTGCTAGAATGATTCAAAAGGGTATCCCGAGGGTTTTCACTAGCTAGGTCAAAGCCTGCATTACCAACGTTAATTACTCTATATGCCTAAATGGCTCGTTAGAAGGTTACTTTACATCATCAACTGGTTTAAGGCAGGGCTGCCCGCTCAGCCCTTACCTTTTTTGTATTATTATGGACAGCCTATCTTGCTTACTAGATGACAAATCAAGGATGGGAGATTTTAAGGGCATTTCTGTAGGTGATTTTGATATTTCGCACCTTCTATACGCTGATGATCTTATTGTCTTTGGTAAGGCAAGTGAATTAAACTGCAATAGCCTTAATAACACTCTGGAGAATTTTACTATGCACTCTGTGCTTCATCTTAATAGCCATAAGAGCACTGTAGTTTTCTCCCTGAACACCTCTAGTGAGGTTAGACTTGCTCAAATTCTGAAGATATCCAATGTTTCCAATAACTTCAATTATCTGGGTATCCCAATTTCGACTAAGAAACTTAAAATTTCTGAATTTAGCCCTTTATTGGATAAGATCAGTGGTCTCCTCTCTGGTTGGAAAGCTAATACTCTCTCGTTAGCTGGCAGGATGCAATATATTAAGTATACTATTTCAAATACTGTATCATATTGGATTAGATCTTCTTTTATTCCTAAATTTGTTTTTAAAAGCATCGGGAAATTGTGTGTCATATTTCTTTACTTTGGTAAAACTAATGAAAAACATATGCACCTTATCTCTTGGGCCAACACCTGCAAACCATACAACAAAGGAGGGCTTGGTATCCCTTCCTTAATGGTTATGAGGTTTGCTTATAAGTGCAATATTATTTGCAGAATTTATAATTCGAATAATCCTCTTTCGGGATTTCTGTTGGCACGATATACTTCTCCCTGGAAAAACAATGCTTCACATCCTACTAAATTCTGGAAAGGTGTATGTGATACGGCAGCCCAGATGAGAGAAAAATTCCTTTTTAATCTTCAAAGTCCTAGTATGGCTTCAATTATTTGGGATCACTGGTGTCTAGGAGAAAAACTTAACTCTAGATTTCCCGGTCTTCATTTATTAAATCTTTGCAAGGAAAATGACACCATAGATAATTGGATTCATAATGGGTGCTGGAACATCCCGCACTCTATCAGTGAGGAGATTTGAGATTTTATTTGCAAAATTCCTATTACTATGGATCAAACAAATTCTATCACCAGGAAGGGTAACCCAAAGGCCTCATATAAAGATTTTTATATGGATTTTTTTGAGAATGAAGCCTCAGTTGACTGGTCTCATCTTATTTGGCATAAGAGATACTCTCCTAGATACTCTATTTACACCTGGATGGCGCTGCTTGGCAGGCTTAAAACTGCGGATGTTTTATCTGGGAAAGGCATTGTGATTACCAACTCGACTTGTTACTTCTGTTTCAATAATATTGAGACTATTTCTCACTTATTTTTTGAGTGTGAATACTCTTATAACATTTTGATCCGGCTAATTCCTAACATGAAAAACTTCTTTTTAAGACCCAATGTTTCTCAAGCATTAGAGTACATTGGAGGCTTACCGAGAGAAAATAATGAGAAATGTAGCAATCTCTTAATGTTAAATGCTATCTTATACCATTTATGGTCTGAAAGGAACAATCAAAGGTTTAACTCCGAGGCAAAATGTTTTTCCACTCTAGCTTCTATCATAGCCAAAGCTGTGAGAATAAAGATTTCAAAATGGAAATAAGGGAGTACCCTCCTTTTGGCTCTACGCGTGAGAAGCTGGTATAGAACTATAGAAATTCTGGTGCAGAAGTGTTCTGCAGCAATGCAAGCCTTAGCTGATGATTTTTTTTGACGACTTCTCTGTTGGCAATCTGTTTGCTTGGTTTTTTGGTCAGGCATTGAAAGAGAAAATTGTCTGAACGATGATGATAGCCTAACTTTGAATACTCTTGGATGTTCTCTGGGCAACCAGAGTATATATTTGCTCATCGATTGTAATTGACTACCTGAGTTCAGTGCAGAATGCAGGCTTCGAGCTATCTTCGTTTTTGATAATCAGTTGTTTTTCTTTGCCTTTTTTTTAGCACTTATGTATTTTTCAAGCTTTTTCGTCCCCTTTTGAACATTTTATTGTATGCTGTACTTTGTTTTCTGATTAATAAAATGGCTTAGGCTGAAAAATTCTCAAAAAAAAAAAAGTTACTAATGAGGAAACCAACAATCACACTAATTATTGCCCTCTGCTCCATCTAAATGAATGCGTAAACAGTTAATACGAACTTGTCATTCTTTATGGAATCACAGAAGGCTGCTGTTCTTTCATTGAATAACTAGATAATATGTAAAAGTTTGAGAAAATCTCGAAGTAGGTGTTAGAAATGGTCATTAAATTTTTGCTCAACAACATAGAAACCCAAAAATCAAGAAATAATTGTTCATTGATCCATACTCCTTGAGAATTAAAAGGCATCCAATAAGGTTGTGATAATTGTGTCAGTCATCTAAAATACTACACTAAAATACGGTAGTATGTTCGGAATATAAAATATTGCCTATAACGAGTACTGTGACGAGAAAAAGATGGTGATCTCGAACCAAACCTGAACAAAAAAGACTTTAAAAAATGATGCTTGTATCACATGAAACCCCTATAATGGGGAATATTTAATCAAAAAAAAAAAACAATCCGTTGGAATTCTTTTCACAGTTAAATGGTAAACAGGATGTGTTTGAGCCACAGGAAAAAAAAAATTTGATCAGAAACACATACCATAATATCAGGCAGTGGCATTTTGATTTTTGTCAGCATAATTTCAGTGTTATTTGCCCTTCTTAAATCAATCTAACAAAAAAGAAAAAAAAATCAATATAACAAGAAGTGGCCTCAGTTAGAATTTAGTAGTTTCCTATTGTAGTGCAATAATAGTATAATGTCAATTCTGTCTTGCAGCAATAGTGTAGCGTCTACTGTGTCTTGGAGCATTCTCAAAATCTTTACATGCAAAAGAATAGCATAATTTAGGAAAAATATATGAGAAGAGACCTTCAAAATCACAGAATACAACAACGAAACTAGAGAGAAGAACACTTTAAGAACAGCATAACACTTTGCATGGTGTGGTTATTTTATTCCATGGATTGACCAAATTTATAGATCAGAGTATATTGACAAATTTTAATATTAGTTATTTTATTGAAACCTACCATGCCAGCAAGATCAAATTCAAGCACCGCTACAAACTTTAAATTGGCTCATCTGCTAAGAATTGGATCAGCCTTCATTGTTTATTCCTATACTTCCTTTGCTCTCAAGATTTAGAGTAGCAAATGAATCATCACCAAATTATCATCACCTCAAGTCACGAACATCATTGAACTTAAATTTTGTTGACCCACATGAACTAATGATCGTTTTCTTAGTTCCAACTTAATTTCTAATAATGATTGTGTTACACCCACGCTCACGCCAGCCCAGGAGGGGCCGGCTGGACCGGTCCTGGTTTATGCACGGCGGAAGAAGCACAGGGAGGGGGGCGGAACTCATGTTGGCCCCATGCTGGGCTTAATGCAAATTTTGGGGGGAATAATTTGAATGTAAGGGC